GTCGCGTACCTATTTTTAATGTCGTACATGGATGTCTCTATTGCTTATATACATAACACGGTATCAAAAAATTAGTTTTGTCGATATTCCTGTATATTATTTTGTAGCATTTGAATTTGTTTAATATACAGAACGCAGACAAAATTATACCTTTGATAAGATTAGGCCGAAATTTCGGCCACATCACACATTAATTAATTGCCAAATTAAACAGTAAAATTTGCCAACTTGGCAACTTTTTATAAACGTAAACATTGTCATTGACATTGTATTGAAGTAAATGTAACACGATGACCTACGAACTGTACCTAAGACATAATAAATTTTAATCTTGAATTCAATTAAATTTATTGAAACAAAGGCTTTGTTATTAAAAGCTAGTATACCTCGATTTATAGTATTATGCCATCAGCAAACTTCGCGCTTGTTATTATCCTTTTACTTCAATTAATACGGCACAAAAACCAAATATCTTAATATCTCTCATACATTCATGCAAGTCATATATAACTATCCATATCAGTAAAACTCATTGCGGCTGTCTGCATGTGCACAGGCTACAATATGCGGGCCTTCAATAAATGAATAAATGAATAATTAAGACAATATTACAAAAAATTCTGTCAAATTCTGCGACACCTATTGACGGTTGTTCACAGACTGTATGTACTATGAGACTATACAGCACGCAAAATATATTTTTATATCAGAAAAATGCTGTTTTTATATGACTATGCTTTTATTGCAGATTAATTTTCATATAAAGATAGATTAGGGTTGAAATTATAGATTTAATATAGACGATTGAGCGTGCTATAAATGTGGAACTAGAGTTTAATACTATAGACAAACATTTATATATAGACATGATATTGCATGTTATACTGCACGAGGATATTATATTTCATGTTATTTATAAAGTAACGCGTCTGCCTATACTGGCTACAGTCATAGAAAGAATAAAATATAGTTGTACAACTAAATTTCGTGACATAAATTGAGCTACGAGATTTAAATTGAAATATTCCTATAAAGAAAATCATAAAGACATGCAAAAACTCGGGCTTCGTATGAAATGCAGCGAGTTGAAGCCCCGAAATAGAGTCTAAAATTGCATCGAAATAATACATACCCATGTTAAATCGTTTGCCCAAGGCCTGTTCTAAAATTTCGACCAACACTCATACGCGTCGTCATATTTATTTGTGCGTGTTTATTTTGCTGACTTGCAGTTCTCACGAAAATTTGATGATACGGGGGGTGCTAATGGCACGAATCCCCATATTTGTTATCTCAGTAAACTTTAACATCAGTAGCGTAGCCAGCCCGACTATTTGGTCCCGCTATGCAAATATTTTCATGTTCATTGACCGTGAAAACAATAAATTTCTAGAGAAATGAATAATGATAATAATTTTGAACTTGCATAGCGGGACTAAATTGTCGGGCTGGCTACGCCACTGTTTAACATTGCTGTAATGTCGACCTTTAAACATTGATCGTCAAGCTAAATCAAATTTAAGAAATTTTACTGTTGCTATAAATACCGTTTTAACGTTAAAAATTCTCCAACCTTGAAGTTTTTTTAGATATGGCACTGGGATAACATTTGCAACTCCCCCCGGAAAGTTTACTCTATGTATCTCTCGCTTGAATTTCGCCACTCATCACAACAGTGCAACGTTTCCATGGAAACATTGCACTAAAAATGGCTAATCAGAAAGATTTTCAGTTTATTTGCCAGTAAAATCGCTAAAGAATGAGAAATAAAAGTTTAAATCATTTATTTGGCAGAGAAAAGCAATAAGGTAGGTGTTCTCTGTGTATATATTTTAGTTTCTTTAAGGCCAAATGGCCTATAGAAGAACAAACAAATGATTAAGTATTTAAGTGAACAACCATCACCATTTATTTAGGTTAGCTCTCAGACACATATAAGGAAAGGATTAATTAAGGCCAGACTGCTTGAAAACTCACGGTAAAATTGTTCCATATCAAGTTTGCTGTTTATGGGAATTATTGTTGGTGATAAGGTGTAAAGTAATTTATAGAAACTGTTGTTCAAATATTGATTTATCACCCCATGAAATGTCAAGAAGGCCAACAAAACCATGAACATTTGCATAGTATAAATGATTATCTGCATAACCTGCTGCTGACTTATTTATTCCATGCTTTATTGCATCTTCAAGATTTAGACTGTGCTAGAATATATACACACAAGAATATGTAATAGGATATACAAATAAGACTCTGCATGAATAGATTGGCTCTAAGCTTGTATTAATTCCGTCAATTACAAGGAAAGATGTTTGGCTGACAGAGATCATTAAGATGTTAGGGTTTGTAAAAGACAGAGATCAGCCTGGTTTTGAGATCTACAGTAGCCGCTCATATAAGCAGCCCTCAATTAGAATATGTACCCACAATCCTCAAAAAAATTATTGTGGACAGTGTACGCAAAAATACAAATACCTGCCTTGCCCAAACATATTGAAACATGCAAAAACAGCATTTTTTTTTAACCGTTGAAAAGCTTCTAGATCGGCTAAGTGAAAGATCTGTGACTGATGGGGGAGATGAAGATGACTTTAAAGGGGCTCTACAGTCATTTTTTAGTAGAAAAGCCACCTTCAATATTGCTTACATTTTTTTGTTATTGTCGCTACTTGACATGCGCATGCATGCGTCTTCCGGTGTGCGGAAGTACTCATATCATGAATACTGCATGTAAGATACAGCCAAACGAATCTCCGTGGAGTCCCCTACATAAGGTGGATTTTCGATTAAAAAATAGCTATTCACACCTAAAAATGTCCACAGAATTTTTGCCATGATTGTAGCTATAGGTGGAAGCAAAGCTGTGAGTTCAAAATATATTAACAGCATTAATGTTTTGTTGCCCAATTTGACAAAGTAATACTTTATGTGTTGTTATGCTGGGTTTTTCCCAGCTTGACAGTAAACAAATTGATTGTTTTGTTTTATAATCTGTTAGAAATAAGGAAAAGTACATGAGTGGCAGGCAGCTATGCTTGGATTGTCAAGTGGAAAAGTGCTGGTGCTCATGCAACAGGTTAAACACCCAGGTCACGAACCTGGTGCCGGCTCTACTATGCAGTTGAGCAGTTATGCATACATGACAGGCCGCGCTCAGATTTGTGTACTCTGCCCTGCATGGAGAAACCACTTACGAATAAAAATATTTAATACAAGTTTAGATCCAATCTATTCATGCAGAGTCTTATTTGTATATCCTATTACATATTCTTGTGTGTATATATTCTAGCACAGTCTAAATCTTGAAGATGCAATAAAGCATGGAATAAATAAGTCAGCAGCAGGTTATGCAGATAATCATTTATACTATGCAAATGTTCATGGTTTTGTTGGCCTTCTTGACATTTCATGGGGTGATAAATCAATATTTGAATAACAGTTTCTATAAATTACTTTACACCTTATCACCAACAATAATTCCCATAAACAGCAAAATTGATATAGAACAATTTTACCGTGAGTTTTCAAGCAGTCTGGCCTTAATTAATCCTTTCCTTATATGTGTCTGAGAGCTAACCTAAATAAATGGTGATGGTTGTTCACTTAAATACTTAATCATTTGTTTGTTCTTCTATAGGCCATTTAGCCTTAAAGAAACTAAAATATATACACAGAGAACACCTACCTTATTGCTTTTCTCTGCCAAATAAATAATTTAAACTTTTATTTCTCATTCTTTAGCGATTTTACTGGCAAATAAACTGAAAATCTTTCTGATTAGCCATTTTTAAAACCACGTGACTGTGTTTGTTTGGCAGCAAACTTAACTCGGTCATGAGCATCGGAGACTGGGGAGCAAAAACGTTTAAAACGGCATACTCTGAGTGATGTTATTAGTTGCTGGGGCACCTGTGCCAGCAACTATAGGTTTCGGGTGAAATTAGTCTCCTTCTCCATGGATAGTCACAAAATGGAAATTCCCACTGATCTATATACGAAGCAATACGTGCATACATTTTCGCTATTTTAACGCTCTTAAAGTCTTCGTAAGTGTATAAAGTGAACGTCAAATTGTTCTTTTAATCACGCTTTTTCTTCTGGGGGCTTTTTGAAAGAAATCCATCAAGAATATACAGAATTATGTCGACGTTTCACTATCGAGGAGTGGAGTAGATTCCGAGGTGGATTAACTGACAATAACTGTGTTATTTATTCGTCGAACCGTTATTTCTGAACGTTTATATTTTTGTTTTGTGAAGTTTTACATCTATATACGCTTTAATATGGCTTATAGTCCAGGTTGCTCCAATAGTCTGCATAAAAATCGTATTTGTTTACATTGGAACTGTCATATTTGGATGCTAGCTCTATTTTTCAAGAAGGCTCAAATTATGTTGGCTGTTTTGAAGTGATACACGAGGTACGTGACACACAATCTTGGATTGGTATTTCTTAGATAGATATGTTTTTAATTGATAAACCTTGCAGCCATTGGCTGTATTTATATGTTAACATTAATACATAAGGTCCACTTATTATTCTGGTTATAGGACTGAACTATTAGCTTAAAAACTCACTTGTTCATGTTGTAAACTGCATCATGTATTCATGATTTTTACTTGCAACTCATTTGCTTATTTAATAGATTGCAAATTTAACAGGGGTCCCCTTGTTAAAAATTTCATGTCAATTTGTGAAGATTAACCTCGCAATATTTTGCAGATTGCAAAATTTATAATCTATCAGTAATCTGTACCTTACTATGATTTAACCATTTGATGATATTTATGTGGCTTTAACATGTAATAGCTTCAATATTTTGGAGTGTATTATTTGATGTTAAGCCCTTTAGTTAAAAATCACCAATTGAAGAACTGCTAGAACCAAAAGTGAATACTGGAACTATCCATATTTACCATGTTGCACCCTCAATGCCTGGTACCCCACGTCTTGTCATCCCTCCCCCTCTTTGTTAGCGATTCAGTTCTACACCACTGTCACTGACTGCTAATATAAAGTTATGTAAAATTTTAATGCCAATAGCTCAGGGAGTGCAGTGCTATGGGAAGCTGTTTTTGATTGGGGAACTGAAAGCAATGGCCAAAGGCCCGAGGAAAGTTTTAAATTTAGAGTCTTTGAAATGCCATTTCCTGAACTTTGGGAAAGATTTGACAGAATTCCGATGGTCATAAAACAGCATTTTAGTATGTCGAAATTTACAATTTCAAACAGCCCCCCCCCCTGGTTGCTACGGCCCTGGGGTGAAATATAACCACGGTCTATCGCATGCATCAGTTAGGTACAAAAAGCTAAATTCCGCACCAATAATCCAATATATGCGATTGTCCATATCATATAACCCTCTAAGTGGCAATGTACCCTCATGTGACCTACCTTATTATTTTACTGTGTCTAATGCCAAGGATTTTACGCATCAGGGAGAGAGTGCTGTCACTCAATGGGTTAATTCACAAATGACTCCTTAGTCCTTAACTGATAAACAATTTTTGTGTTTTAAAATTTGTTATAAACAAGTTAAAATAAAAATACACAAATCTGTATTTATCCTCAAATATGAATAAGGGGTTACTATAGCCCAAGGCATGTACACTTGTGCCACAGTACCAGCACAAAATGGGCTATTTCAGCTTTCAATTCTGCTGGAATGAGGTGATAAATTTTTAGCTTTGGAATTCCTCAGGGATAAGCAAATTTCTGTGTGGAATTCTTTGGGGGTAATCTGGTAATGGCTATTTTGAATGAGATTTTCTCAGGGGTCAAATGTAAAAATTTTAATTTTTATCCAGGGTCTCTCTTCATGGGTATTAACAGGAATTCTTCAGTGGATCTCTTTTATGACCTGTAGGAATTCTTCAGTTCAGCGATATGATGAACTCTTGTGCAACGGACCTGATTGTGAGATTCCACTTCATTGAAAGGACGACCTTAGGACGGACCATTAGAAAAGTGATGGGGGGGGGAACCAAAAAAAAAATTTATTCCCAGGAAAAAGTTAGGGAAAAAAAATCTTCCCAGGCATAGTGCAAAAAAAATTCCTTTCTTGGAAGATAGACCTATAAATTTTAATAAAAAATATATATTTCCAGCCATCAAGTGAGAAAAAAAAATTTCTATAGGTGTACAAAAAAAAATCTTGCCTCTTAGAAAATCCCTCCCCCCATCACTTTTCTAATGGTCCATCCCTTAGTTAATTAAATTTGCTGCTGTATACATTATGTCGCAACGTGTCACTATTTAATAAACTTATGTACAATTACAAATCAAGCCCACAAATCGTTGAATATACTCTTACCGCTCGTTGCAAATCACGCAGGCGCCTATTTAAAAAGCCCCAGCAACTTAACGCTCGAGAGAGCGTCTTGTTTAATTTCAAAATGGCGCGTGTTTATTTTTGTTCGTCGAAGAACTGAAAATACAAATGCAATTTGTGAAAAAACTGCGGGTGTACGGAGCGGCAACTTTTCGGATTTGAATTCAGCGTGTTCGAAAATGTTAGTTACCGTGAAAATATTTCAGTTCCACGACATGCTTAATGAAAGTGAACGATATCGGGTCACGGCAAACGGCCTAATACCTGAACCTCCTTTGTAACAATTATGTTACTCCAGATCATAGACAATCCACAAGACATGGTAACATTCAATTTGTAACAAACATGAAGTGAAACAACTTAATTCCTTTTGATATGCAATGAACACTCGAGGGCTTGACAAGTCCAATTTCAGTAGGTCTCTATTGTCCATCATCATAACCTGAACATTTAGAATCTTTGCCTTCCAAAAAAATTTTTCTAATTGCATGATATGCACATGCAGGTAGTGGATATCTCCGTTGTCCCAGGTAGCCGTAAACCAGGTATGTGAATTCCCTGTATGAAACTGCACGAAGATATCTATAATGGAAAGTCAAAGGCACTTCACGAATACTATTTAAAGTAAAGAAATGCCCATGCATTTGTGCACAATGGGTCACCAAAGTCACTAGGAAGCTCTTGAGGGAGATGGAGCAAAAGATTAATTCCCAGTTAAGTTTTTAAGGATACAAAACAGCGTTAGCTAGAGTGCAGAGAGTGCCATTCTAACAAATGAACAAAGATCAGTGACACAAGTGTCTGATGTAATACCTTTTTGGGAGACACAACCCTTGCTTCATCCACCACTGCTTTGCTTATCAAATAATGAATTGCCAACCATAACTCGAACATGCTATTTTTTTGGACAATTGAATTAAATCGCAATATAAATAATTATTATAAGTAATAGCATGGCATTCAGGGCGATTAGTGATTAAATGTACCCGAAAGCCGAGAGAGGTTTAGTACTAACTTTTACTAAACCTCTCGAGGCTTGAGGGACATTTCATCACTAATCGACCGTAATGCCATGCTATTACTTTGTAATATCATAGTTGCTGAGAGAATCGCGCGTGGTGTGTTGCCTGTTTTGAATGTTGTTTGATTGTCTTATGATTGTGGTACGAACACTTTTCACATATACGCACGCGCAGAAACACATCTCCGTGTTCATTCGTTTTAGGCATGCGCATAAACGAAATTTTCTCACACAATTGTAATGTTCAAGATTAGGGAATAAAAGCTGGCAAAGTGATTGTTCGAATGTGTACGGGACGGTGTCGTCAGATACTGTCCATAGTTGTGCCGATGATTTTCGATGAGGTACAGCTCTCCAATCAGAGGTAATGAGGTACGCTTTTGTCTTCTAAATTTCCCTCATCAAGCATGCAGGGAAATTAGAAGACAAAGAAATCCTTTGTTTTCAACAAAATTTCCCATGGAAATTTAGTTGAAAACAAAGGATTTCTTTGTCTTCTAATTTTCCCTTGCATGCTTGATGAGGGAAATTTAGAAGACAAAAGCGTATGCATGGGTAATGAGGTTAATTAGTGATTAATCGTACCTCGCGAGACAAAGGATTTCGAGGCAACTATGGTATTACGGTAAATAAAACCCAAGTATTCACTACTGTGCAATGCCCAACAATTTTCACTATCTTACCTGTTCTCTGAATCTGACTTATGGTACTTAGTCCCGTCAATCTTTCGATACTTTCGTCCTGCTTGGCGAAGTGACCAGGTTTCTAAACAAACGGGGTTAAACCCGGGATGAAATGTCACAGAACTTGGTGGACTATCGACTTCACTGAGGACTTGATCACTGTTTACGGCTTCAACACAGCCATCTATCTCCATACAGCAATGTGCTTCTTTACTACTTTGCGACAATTCGGTGCTACAATTACCACATTTACACCTAGCAAAAATCGTAAAAGGAATTTGTATAAATAGACTGTTAAATAGATATAGTATTCGCTTGAGAAATTTTATTTGTTTTACATTTTTCGTGTCACTTACCATATATGCACAGTTTCAGGTTGCTCCAAACGACCTTCCATTTCTTTGCGCCGCTCGTCCTGCTTTCGTTTTTGCCCTTTGTAGTTGGCAAGCCAAACATCATCTGCTATAGGCTCGCCTTCGTAAGGCAGAGAGCCATCGTTCGTCTCCTCTGCATTACCAGCTGTTGCACTGGCAACATCGTCGTTATTTTGACCCTCGCAGACGTATCCCGATATAAAATCAGTGTCCGAGTCGTTTTGGCTGTTATCGGTATCGACAGAATTTTCGCTATCAGACGGGGAAGTAGACATGTTTATAAAATTTGTATTTTTTATCCACTTCAGACCTCGCCACTCCGCTTCTCCCTGGGCGTACGTCACATCCGGTAATTAGTTTACAGGTTTCTTTCTCCCGGACATTTTGTGAAAACGCTCAAATTAGCCAAATTTAGCAGCAAAAATGATAAGGAAGATTAAATTTTTGCTTATGATCATATTAAGCAAATCGTCCTAAAATGTTCGAAATATGGTAAATATGTAAAAACCTCAATCATGAGATAGGCACTTTAATCTTTACTTCTTCAAAGCTTGTATTCAAAAATTTCATCGAGTCATTCATCTCAACAATTGTGTCGCCGATTGGCTTTAATTTAGGGTCAAAAATAGCGTCCAATTCCTTTTTTGAGATTGAGATAATTGAGCCATATTTGTACAACAAAAACGAAGAAAGAAAGCAAACATTTAACACAGTATATAGTAAAAAATTGAAATTCAAAGTTGGATTAAAAGTTGCATAGTCGGGTTTCTAGACCGCCATGCACTCTACGTATTGAGCTATCGAGTCAACGGGGATTGGTAGCGATTCTTGTTCAGTTCAAGCGCACAAAGTATTTTCGACGACTTAACGTTTGTCTCGAAGGACGCACTGCAGGGTTTCAATTCTATTTTATATCATAACTATCCTCTCCGTTGATCTGCTAGCTCAATGGGTAGAATGCGGCGGGCCAAAACCCCGAATATGCGAATTCGAATCCCGGTCGAGACAAATAATTTTTCGTTGTACTAGCTCTACAGCGTCAGAATAATATGAAACTAATGTTTCATGTCTCAAATCAAGAAACTGTAAATTTTGTGCAGTTATTACCTGAATTCCACGAAACTTCAGCATATCCCCCAAATATATTATTACCAGCTCTTGCAATGACGACAGTGGGACCCTTGTTGTTACAATATTGATGAAAAGAAGATGTACACCATCCATATGTTTGACTGCTGTAAAGCTGCACCCAGTTGACGAAAATGTCTTGCGGTGGTATCAGTGACAACAACGCGTTTCTTTGCTCATCAGACAAGCTGTTAATAATGTAGCTTGAATTTTGAAATGCTCCACCGGGCCAAATGTCGTTACGAATGCCACTGATTTGATAAAACTCAGCCTCAAGGTAAAGCTCTTTCGCCAAAACTTTGTTTTCTTTTGGGTAGATCAGCTTTCCTGTGCGCAGGTAATTTAAGATGTATCTACAGGCGAAAATGAAACAAAAATATGATTGAAGATCAAGTTGAAAAAGGGATCGAAGTGCAGCAAGGATATTTCATATATGCAGTTTATTATATTAAAATTAATATCCCCGAGCCAAGGGCGCGGAGCCGCCGTTTCGGGCGTAAGCTCATGGCGAGGGTATACTAATTCCGCTCGGCTATTTACACACGGAGAAAAGAAACCATTAGCGAAGTCTAAAGTTCATCAATAATCGCGGACGCATGCCGGTAAAATACAAAACATCAATTTATATATTGCGTCAATATTCATGTCTGAAATGTTTATATATTTGAAAACAATACTGTATCGCTACTTCCTAGCTCTGTATAATGAATATACCGTCAAAGTAATATCGACACTTAATTGAATGCCTATACTGAAATTCTAAAACCTCAAAGATTTTCTCCGAATATTTACGTCTGTTGTCTGAAATGTTTAAATATACATTTGAAAAAAAGCACTGTCTAGCTCCTTCCAAGCTCTGTGTAATGAATATACCGTCTAAATAACCGGTAATTGATTGAATGCCCGTAATGCATAACATCAAATTATATATTGAGTCGATTTTTATATTAACGTCTGAAATATTTATATATTTGAAAACACTGTGTCGCTCCTTCGTGATCTACGGCTTGATAGCGCATGCGCATTTGCGCTGCTAAAGAAAAAATCGGGTGTTCCGGGGGAAAGATCCTTTGCACGACGCGAAAAGCGAATGTTTTAAAATTTACAAAAATTTACAATAACGACAACGATTCCTCGAAATTTTTGTGAACTAGGCAAAAGGCCTAAAGAGTATTTAAACAACACAGCTGAAATTGCCAAAATAAGCTGCAAAGCACTAAGTACAATAAATCACCACAAACATAAATCGTATACATCCCCCGGAAAGTTTACTCTATGACTTACTCGTTTGAATTTGCCAGTCATCACAATAGTGTAAAGTGAAACTTTACACTTAAAACGCAAGCGGTACACGCTCGTTCGAATATCCGCTAAGTTGACTGTTTAAATTAAGTAGAACTGCAAAGTTCAAATTCCGTTCGAATTAAGTAGTGACACAGCGCAATTTATCTCACAAATATATGATTCCACATAACCTGAAAAGCGAGATTAATTTAAGATGGCTGAGGCCCGGTCATATAATTAGTCTACGCATAGACGAGTCTGCGGCGCAGACTATAATATGTTACACTCCTTTTGGATGCTCATAGCCTCATATAGCCCGTCGGCTACAATTTTGACTCTTGATTCCTGTGTCGAAAGATTTAAATGACTGTATACAAATAAATTGAGAATACCATATCTTGGTAAACAAGGTGAAAATTTAGTTTTCAATGTTATCCGCAAAATCCGTCGCAGTTTGAAAATTCCTATTAAACCAATTGTAATTTATCAAACTAAGAAAACTTCATTTTTCTGTCCAAAAAAGGATAAAATTCCAGAACTTTGTCAAGCCAATGTAGTTTACGAATTTAAGTGTCCTGGTTGTGGCCAAACGTACATAGGTAAAACTGAACGTAACTTACAAACGCGACTAACACAGCACGCTACCAACTACAACAATTCTAGTGCCATATCTCAACATCTCTTAGACTGTCCTGACACACACTTCATCTCTCGCCTTTTCTCATTTCCTGACATTGATTCTGAGGAAGATTTCACTGACTTACTTTGCAATCCTCGTAATCTAATTCAAACTAATACTAAAATCCTATATCGTTGTAATAATAATCCTAATCAACTTCTTATCCTAGAAGCACTACTGATAAAGCGTAATATGCCACATCTCAATAGTGGTCTAAAAGCTTGTAAAAAACTATCATTGTTCTAAAGCCATTAGTAATTTTACACTTCCGCTGCGTCTGTAAATAGCTATACATATAGATCACAGCTTGCTTGTAATTTCATAGGTCTGACGATGTCTTTGGAATAAAGACGAAATATTACCGACTCTGTCTTTACACTCTTGTTTTTATCTTGAATATCAAGAACACAAGATGTCTATTTTCGGAATTTGTTTTATTTTATATTTTCTGAAGTTGTCTGCTTGTCGTGGTTATGTTTCTACTATAATCTCCAAAGTCTCCAAGGTGATTGGAGTTCTACGAAGACTAAAACCATTGCTCCCACAGTCCACTCCTGTCATGATCTATAACTCTTTAGCACAGCCATATTTTGATTATTGTAGTATTGTCTGGGATAGCCTAGGTAAGGGTCTTGGACAAAAGTTACAGCGATTACAGAATAGGGCTGCAAGAATTATTACTGAATCTGATTATAACATCCGGTCATCAGATATTTTAACATCATTGAATTGGACCAACCTTGAAACCAGACTTACCCAACAGTTCAAAACTTTTATGTACAAAACTGTTAATAATATGGTTCCTAGTTACTTGTCTGGAAAATTTACTTACACGTCAATGATTATACACGAACATAGTTTGCGTGGATCTAATCATAAACTTTTTCTACCAAGACCCTTAACGGAATCCTTGAAGAAACGTTTTTCCTATACAGGAGCTACTCTATGGAATGACATACCCGTCGAACTCACTAGAGTTCAATCTCTCGCTGAGTTTAAATCTAAAATATCTTAATATTTCTTTTATATTAGTTTCTTTGCTTGTGTAGTTTGTTACTTTTGTAAATACTGTAGTTTGATACCTTTTTATTAGTAATTAGTCTACTAGTATAGGTACACGTCTCCATTGAAGAACACATAACATAACCTGTGAAATGGACCACGTGTTTTAAATAAAGATGTCAATCAATCAATCAATACGATGTTTTAATCCGCTGGCCAGTCACATTAAGTTTTATCTTGAGAACGAAACATACAGTTACAGTTTAGCATTAATATAGATCAAATTCTCATGCTATATAGATAGCTCTATATTTTCAGTGGATACGCGGATACGCAGTCGACGAGTTATCTTGAGAACGAGACATACAGTTATAGTGGTAACATGATATGATATAACTAGTGGACGGGTATGCTGCAATTTAGCAAGCAAAAGTCCTAAGACGCTAAAAAAATATGCTAAAAGAGTTTCTTTTCTTAACACATTCAGCAAGGACAATCAAATGATTCGGGTATAGTTTAATACTACGTAGTTTAAAATACATATTACTATATAATTAAATATGTCTACCGTACTTTATTTAGACAGACAATTATGTCCTGTAAAAAGCCGTCATCCGTAAAGAGAGAGATGACATTAACAAATATAACTCCGCTCCTCTGATCTGAGATAATTAACCCATGGCCATGATATATCCCTGATACTCTCAGTGAAACTTGTTACAGTCGTGCCAATAGAAGCGTTCCGAAAAATGTTGACCAGTTCATTTCCTAACTTGAAGGAACACCATTTTTCTGTGTTGGTGTTGTGTACTCAGGTGAATATGATATTTGTGATGTTACTCTGAGTGTGTATCTACACCGGGCGAGCTTGAAACACCGGAAGAGCATTGGGCTAGTATTCCAAAGGTCGTAGGTTCGAATCCCACCGTGGCCGGGCATATTTTTGAAGGAACACCTCTGAACAATTCCTCAACAATTTGATAAGTTCCTTAAAAAGTTCCTAACTTCCTGTTTCATTGACCAATCAGATAGATTGCTCAAAAATAAAATATGATTGGTCAATGAAACAGGAAGTTAGGAACTTTTTAAGGAACTTATCAAATTGTTGAGGAATTGTTCAGAGGAACTCCTCGAAGTTAGGAAATGAACTGGTCAACATTTTTCGGAACGCTTCTATTGGCACGACTGTAAAAAGAACTGCGGATTCATCATTCATCTATATTCTCATAAAGAGTTAATAAAATGGAAAAGCATGCGAGTATCAGAAAGCCTGCGCCGCAACAGGTGGGAAATTTGTCTGAGCATGCGCGAGTAAAATGAGCCACGCAATTGCGTGGAATACACGCAACGCGTGTTTACAAAAAGGCACAATCGTGTAAATATAGCCAAATGTTTGTACAAAATAAATGACTGTTTTATGTTGAAAGAGTGGACATGATATAAATTAATCATACAGAATTTTTTAGTGACGTTCTATTTCAGTACCCTGCCATTGTCTCTGGTGGGCTGTCCGTGTGCATTCGATCTGAAACAGTTGCTACTTTGCTGTCAAAGAATTTCGAATGTTTACATGAAAATAGAGGCAAGTCATGCATTTTACAACCTCTCAAACTGTATGAGCCCCTATTTTTACGCTTATACCTTAGATATCAAATAAAAGTACATGAAACAGAGAACATTTGTAGAAAGTTTTATCGTGAGGCCACGGCCAGTTTTAAAAATATCTTTATTTCTGTTCCGGTCATCACCAAAATTACACAAAAGCCGGACTTGAATATACAACAAATTTTGAATCGCATCAAGCACAAAAATACTTAACGTGTAACCAAAATATGCTCATGAAATCGAAATTAATAGCTAAATTTTCAAACTAGACCCGTCTCGAAGCGGTTTTCATGAAGGAAGTTCACATTTCGGCCTTTGATTCTTGGCAAAAATTTGACCACAACACGTGCGAAGCAACTGGGTCTCAAAGACTGAACTAAAACATTGTGAGCCCCTATTTTCCTGACGATATGTTTGATACCTACAACCGCCGAAAAGTTTTTTCTTTTCATTTAGCTATATTTGAAATTGAGGCCACGGGCTATTTTTGAGAAAATACAGTTCAAAGTCAAGCTATTTTTACATATTTTCAAAATTTGTCAAATTTCGCGAGCTTGTATTTTGAACTTAGACAGCTGAAGTTACATTAAGAAACATAGGATGGAAAATTGGACGCATATAAAGTTAATTTCAACTTACATTTCATTCTCAAATCACGTCTTTCTTCGTTTATTACGGTTTTAAACAAGCCATAGATCGACGTAAACGGTATAATTTTACTCCCATGTTCACGTCGCCATATTAACTTCTTCCAACCACGCGATTACAAAACAATCATCCCAAAACAAAGAATTCATGATCGACTTTTAAAAGAATAACCAATAATTTGTAAATCGTTGAATGGAAAGCAAAATCGTCAGCTAAAACAGCTTCTTGCTAACTTTCTGCTTTGTTTTGAATGTAAATGCAATGAGCTTTGTTTCTGCCCGCAATTTTTTGGTCAGCGACGACAAATTTCCCACCTGTTTCTGCGCCGCAGACCCGTCTATGTGTAGACTAGTTATGTGAACGGCCCTCAGCCATCTTAAAATTTCGCTCTTTAGGCCAAAATTTTAAAGATTTCGACCCTCAACCTCACTCTCGACCCTCGACTTGCTACCCTCGACCCCAATCTCGTTCCCCGAGCCTGCGATCCTCGAGAAGGAACGCGAGGCTCTGGGTTAATCCGTTTCAGCCTCACGTTCCTTCCCGAGGATCGCAGGCTCGGGGAACGAAATTGCCCTCGACCCTCGACCAAAACCCAAACTCTCCTGAGAGAACATATAAATAACAATAGAGCATATAATCATACATTTTTATTGCTTCATTTCCCGACTTGTTGCTACAAAAATCTGTTAAGCATTTTTTATAATTTACAGTTGATTTCATATAACTTGCGAACTTCGTTCCGAACTTCGTTGTGAAATTCAAAAGTTCATACTGAAATTCACAAGCCGGTTTGTAAACAAAGCCTCTGATTGGTCCCTGAACAAAAATAAGCCAATTAGAGGCTTTGTTTACAAACCGGCTTGTGAATTTCAATATGAACTTTTGAACTTCACAACGAAGTTCGGAACGAAGTTCGCAACATTCACGGAAAAGTTATGTGAAACCAAATGTAAGAGCAAACAGAAATCAAACTTAGCTAGTATTTTGACGTATATCAGGGATATGTGATTCTCTGTCATTCTCAAAGTTGATTGTACAAGAACACTCACTCCTTGCGATGGAAGTGTAAAGTGCGGAGGTTGAAGCATGTAATATGATACTTTTCCCACACCACCTTAGGCAATCAATGTTCTGGGAGCCATGTGACCAGCTATTGCCAGGGTCTTTCCTCCTAAATAGGGAAGAGCCTGGGAACGAGGTGGGTATGCCTGTGGGGTATATTCACCCAAAAAACCTATGACTCACAAATCTAATATTCATTTGATAAAATTGATCATAAATTGGGTAGGCTAGCCTGAGTAATTGTAACCCAGATGTAGGGGGAGAGTCAACAATGGGAGAAAGAGGGTCTGCAGCAAAACTGGACATTCATGATCAAATTATCTCATATATACAGTACATGTATGTCAATTCAAAACATAGTGTATATTCAACATTCTACACAAAATTTAAAGCCAGGTTCTACTGCTAGGGTATGAAAGCCAGCCATGATAATTTATACAGTACTTAGTATTAAAGCCAGCAGGACACCTGGATAGTCCCAATTAGCAATGCATACAATACTGTACCAGTTATTTGACAGCTAGGCAGCCAGCTTGGTTTCATATATCAACCACAATTCAAAATTTAATAGAAATGATAGACTTCAGTTATTAGTAGTACTCGATCGACAGACATCTATAATCTTATGTGCTTTGCCTGCTGCAGATCTACAAAATACATATATTATTGACCCCATGAATCATAGAAGAGGATCTTAGTATAATGGCTGGTGTATTTAACCAGTACAGTACGTATATACAACTGTTTTAACAGCTAAATTCATCCACCCAATTATTAAGTTGATTTTAACCCCGGGAGTGAACATGAGCAGACTGATCCAAATATGTCCACTCCTGCCAATTGTGTCTTGTTAGTCTGCTAATTGCTGCAATGTACCCAAATGGCCAATTATGTGCCCTACTTTAAAATGGCCAAATGCACCCAAATGGCCAAATGTGCCCTACTTTTTGTGCCCTATTTAGTCTGACTAACACCAGACAATTTTACTTGTCAAAGGAAGAGTCTTGAGCTTTAATGGGTTGGTTAACCCATTGAGCAGCAACATGCATGCCCACCTTAAAATTGTCTGTCATTAAATGGAAGTAAAACAAATAGAGGGCATCAGGAGCCAATGCAACTGAATTAGTTAAACTATATGTCTTGGGGAATAGCAGCTATCAGGATTTTCGACACCCCACTCGTTTGAAGCAATTCTGAGGGATTTTGCACATGGAAATTTCGAGAGTGAATTCTACAGGACCTGGTATACATTTATCTAAACCTAACCACGCGAGCATGTGTGAAAAATGTAACTCAATAGGCCCTGTAGCAGAAAGGTCATAGGTCTAAATAAATGTATTTAGGTAAGTTCTAAAAGGCTAGGTCTAAATGAATGTATAAAATTCACACTCGAAACAGGTTTTTTTCCTCTGTTTCAGCACGAGATCCAAACAACGCAGGGCCCCAAGAGTCCTAGGCCCCCAAAAAAACGAAGCCCCAAAATAAAAAAAAGTGAGGCTCCAAAAGCAGGGTGCAAACAAATTTTTTTGTTCCTTATTTGTGCAAGGGGCTCCAAAAAGTGAGGCCAAAAAAATCATAGGGGTCAGAAAATTTCAAAATTCGCAGTAAGTTGTTAAATACTATAAAATATATTGCTGAATTGTGTGGAAGGCAGCAGAAGTTTATATGGACGCTATCATGTATATATAGCTATTTTTCCCCGTAAATAATAGTTATGTTAATTGTATAATAAACTGGGTTGAATATTTTCAGTTCGATCAAATTATTGATGTATAAATCTTCTTTTTTTTTTAATACACAGGAAACTTATAGACGCACTGAATTCAGTCTCTAAAATATATGCTGTTGGGCAGTTGGGGGGAGTGAAGGGTCCCGTGCTGATAATATGCCCCGGGCCCCATGGAACGTTAATCGGGCACTGAACTGGACTCAGTAGCAGGGATGGATACAGTGTGATCTGGTAAGGGCTCTCCCAGTTCAGGCACCAAGTTGTGTCGGTGATGTGCGCCCCCGCCCATCAATCAACTTCCTTGATTATTGCAAAGTCTTGCTTGACTACTGTATTTGTTCAGATTGTAATTACAAATTTTTCACAGTTCGCTCATCGTCATGTTATTACTCAAATTATTATTACTGTACATCTCATTTTGTCTCTAATATTTTTTTCCTTTATCATGAAAAATACATACTTAGCACCCTCTCTGACCAGGGCTAGGGGGTGCACACCCCCACCCCCAATAAAATCCATCTCTGCTCTGTAGCTCAGTTTGTTAGAGTGCTACACTGGAATCACAGGGCCGCAGGTTCGATTCCTGCAGAGGGTCAATATATAGTTGCATTTTTGGCAGTGCTCCTGGGTAGGTCTAAAAATAATCATAAAATTCACACTCGAAATTTCCATCTAATATTAGCAAGCCCTGGCTACCTTTCCAGCTTGCTTAATTGATTTAACCGAGGTGAATTTCCTCATCTGAGACTGTGTTCACTATTCCACTAGTTACATGCGATGATTCACACATACAAAGATACCCTTACCTGAAATGTGTTCCATCTCTGTCAACAAAATATGCACCATCTTCTTCATCAGGCTTCACATCAAATCTCTCAGAAAACATGGCGGCCAACATCGAGTCAGGATCTTTTAACAAAGTTTCAATTGATGTCTTAAATATCTGACCACCAACATTAAGCTTGATATGTTTCTTGAAATGTACGCTGTCTAGCTTCTTTCTCATAACTTCGAACGTCGCTCTCTCCTCCAGAAGCACCGAGGCTTCTTCGTCCATCGTGCATTTCAAGTCTTGAATTGCTTGTTGAGCATCGTCCAGTTTCGCTGGAATATTGAGTTGCTTTCTTTCCTTCTTGCGTGTTTGTTTACTGGATGAAAGCTTCTTCGCCGACATGTTTTATGTTACTCTCGAATAGCAGGTTTTAAAATGATCTGGTATGCAGTTTCTTTTTCACACGGCAGATATCTGGTCAGAAAATATAATACCGTTACTTTACTACAATACCACGGCACGAAGCAGGATGCGGGAGCTTGAAAATTGAAACGGTTAATGTTACTTTCGTTTTGTGATTTACAAGGTGGCTTTTCCCGGAATATTATTCTCCGTTTCCTTCCGTTTCCTTGGGATTTTACTACATCCCGGGCGTTCTTTGTCAGTGCCCGCGATCACAATTAGTATTATCAGCGGTATATGATGATAACATCGAGTGTTTCCTGAAATCACAATGTTTGCAAGAAAACATCTTAAAAGCCAAATATAAATTATATAATACTCGATGTGAATTTATAACTTGATTAAACTGTAACAGTTTGTCAGCATGTTAATCTATATTTCAAGATATCAGTTTGCTTCTAGTCAGTTTATTTGATCCAGACATATTGCCTTTTAATTTTTGACAAAACTGTTTATGTTTTAGCACTAATTTCACAGATCTTATATGAGCTAGTAACATTTATAGCAGCTCAAATAAAAAATAACCAAGTGACTGGACAGACGGGAGTTATTTCGTATTTTGTAGCAATTATATAAAAACTTTTGTTTGCGGTAATGTTCACCAAGTTTGTCGTTAGCTCAAGCAGTAAAGGCGTTGCGTACCGAAAGTGAAACGCAGTCGGGGTCGGGATCGATGCCGGGCATTTATTATCTGATTTAGCTCTTTTTCTCAATTTTTTGTAATTTTTTTCTTCCTTCCTTTTTTAACTCTTAAAAGTTAGGCCGGTTAGTGTTTGGGATCGGTATAAAATCTAAAGTGCTTTAAAAAAGTTTTAATCTTTTTTTTTATCTGGTTGAAAATGTTTGAATATTGAGTTGCGAACTCAACCGCTGGTAATTCTAATTGTGATCGCGGGCACTGACAAAGAACGCCCGGGATGTAGTAAAATCCGTTTCCTTGCCATGCCAATTCACTGATCGCGCATGAAAACTGGACCACAGAGAAGATATATATACATACATACCAGAGGAGGAGTGAGGACTATACCGGCATGCAACGCGGTCAGGCGCGGTTTTTTACATATTATCGATTTCTCGCTCTGCGCCGTCAGTGTTCGGTCGGCTTTCGCTGTGTTTACACCTCGAGGTTTCAAAAGATTCGGAAAAGATTTATCGAAAGAAAATTGTAAAATGGTGGATTTTTGCACTATGCATGGAAAGAAAGCTTCGTTTTTGGGTGGACACGAGCTTCTGTGTGTTCACTGTGTGTCAAAACAGCCTTTAATCTTGATTCCGGAAGAATTACCGTGTGATGAACTTGAATGTCGTGAGGACGTGAGGTTCATGTTTATAGTTTTTTATAATACAGATAGTTCGAAGAATAGTCCTTTGTCCAGCTGTGGTTAACGGGATAAAAATTGATGGAATGTTCGCTGATTGCGGTAGTCCTCCACTGGTACAAATTTACTCTAGTTGTGTTTTTAAGGTGAGATTTTTATATAAAAATAGAAATATAAAAATGCTCCTATGTTGTTGTATAAAATACAGCAGTATTAAACGTATTTTTATTTCATATCATGTAGTTCTTCGACCCTAATGATCTACGGGAAGGAGGTATAAACAAAGAATATAGCAATGTTATGTTGTGGGAGTTTGACATTTCAACATCACCAACATCCCAAGCAATCC